GAGTCGTAACCTAACTAACTATATCCCGTTTAATAAAACCGCGAAAGATTATAATTTTATTCCTATAGCGCTAAATTAAGACTTACTATACTTCTTTTAGAAGTGTGTTAAGCACTTTCTTATTCTATAAGAATAAGTAGATTATAAAGCTTTCTATATTTACCACCTAACTATTTTACTTCTCGTATAGATAACGGTAAAGCGTAATAAAACACCCCTAGTATAGGAAAAAATAAAGCCTATTTTAGGAAGGTGTATAACGGATTAGCTTAGTGTCTTACTATTTTTTTAAAGAAAACTAGAAGTCCTTACTACTCTTTTTAAAGCACTCTTACTCTACTAAGGGATCTTCACTAGCGTCCTTATCGTCTTTATTTTACTAGAGTAAAGAAATAGTATACTTTAATTTAGTAATTAAACGCCGGCTACGGCTTAATAAATTATTCCTTTCTATCTATTATATAAACTAGTTATATAGCTTATCGTGGTATAGAATTTCTTTAGAGAAGGTAAAGTAAAGGAGCACGTTTTAGACGTTGTCTAGAAATCGAGGAAGTATAAAGCTAAAGAATAGAGATAAAATAGCGAATAGGATAAGGAAACCGGAGTATAAGGAAATATCGGTATATAAATAAGAGGAGAGAAGTCGGGTAAATAGAGAAAATCCTAGAAATAATAACTTAAAGGTAGTAGGTAGTACCTTAGAGATATTACTATATATATTACCGAAATTTAGTGCGAGTATAGGTAGATAATAGAGGAGGGTATAGGCCTTTTATAATAGACCTAAAAGCTAATTCTACTTATAGTTAATTCTTAACTATTCGCGGAGAGGCGATATCTAGAGTGTATATAGTAGGTTAACACATTTTTCCCTTATTAAATCAAATTTATCGCGATAATCTTATACCGTTAATAGTTATAGAACCTTATATTACTAACTTAGATATAATCCTCGTATATTATCGTATAAATTTATAGCTTCAATTTTTATTATATCCGAGTACGAAATCCTCTAATATAGATTTATACGACTTAGAATCAAATATTTATCTCTTTTAATCCCGTATTTCCGCCTTATATAGCACCACTCCTCCTCTCCTATAAGACCCTTTATAACCCTAATCTTATAGTGAAGTTTTAGTAGGTAGAGCTCGGACGACGCTATTCTATAAATAAAGGGATATCTATAAGTATAGCCTTTTAAGTCGTTATTATATCTAATATAGAACTTTATAAAGACGGTGACTAGGGTCTAGACTATATAGTCGTATCTCTCGAATTTAGTAATTTCGCTAAGGAGTTAGATATCTAAGACTAGTCCCTATAGCTTAGCTATAACGTGGATCTATATTATTAGCGTTTCTAGAA